GGAGACATGGTGCACGCCGCCCGAGGCAAGTGGGGCATCAAAGCCAACTGCCCCTGCACCAGCCGGCAGAGCAAGCCCCTGGCCAGGCCCGCTGCCCCCAATGGGCTCTCTCAGGTACTGGTGCACCTGGTGAGCACTGGTGCGCGCCCGCGTGACGCCAGCTGAGCACAGCCTGTGGCTGTGGGTAACTGCAGTGCGGTGTACCAACGGAGAGCGCTATGCCTGATCAAGGAGGTTTCAGAATTTCCTCTGGGAAACAGTGACGCCTGGTGGCGCCGAGGTGTCACTGCAGCCCCTTGCGGCCGGGCAGGTTTCTAATTCCAGCCACTCTGTGTTGTGTCCCCCTAGCAGCCCGCTGTGACCTCCAGCGGGGGCGTCTCCAGCGCGGGCGGCGGCACTCTGGGTCCCGAGCTCTCCTCCAGTGGGGTGGGGGGCCCCGGGGGCGAGGGGGAGACGGCTCCCAGAGCAGATCCGGGTCTGGATGCGGGGGGCAATACTGGGGAGGGCAGCAGCAGCAGCAGCACCAGCGCCCCTGCGCCTCCGGGCCCCTCCCCTGTCACGAAGGACAGCCGCCCCCCCTCCACAGACGCCCCCCCCTCCTCGGCCCTGCACTGGCTGGCTGACCTGGCCACACAGAAGGCCAAAGAGGAGACGAAAGGTGAGGAGCCCGGAGAGAGTGTGTTGTGGGATATTTCTCCTGTAAAGGAGGCACACTGACGCGTCTTGCCCTCCCTCCCTCTCCAGCAGAGTCGGGCTCTCTCCGCTCGGTGATGGCCAAGGAGTCCCGGTCTCCCTTCGGCCTGGAGTCCTTCTCCTCCCTCTCCAAGTCCTCCTCCTCTTCCTCAGCCCCCAAGCTCTTCAACAGCCTCCTCCTGGGCTCCAGCAGCGCCCAGCCCAAGGCCGAGGGCTCCAGCCTGCGCGACCTGCTCAACTCTGGCCCGGGGAAGCTGCCCCAGAGCGCGGGGGACGCGGGGGTCCCCTTCCCCTCCGTCTTCTCCACGGCATCAGTGGTGTGTATCCCCGAGCGCGTCCCAGCATGCACTGGGGGGTTCGAACATTGCCGCAGTGCCAGAACCTGGTCCCGCGGGGTCCGCGAGGCCCGCTCCTAGGTCTTGGCTCTTGTGCCGGTGCGTGCGTTGCTCGCTGGCTCAGTCGCTGGTGTGCTTTGCTGGCCCCTTGCGGGGCTGACGTGATTCCGGCTCACGCTTGGCGTCTCTCTGGTCCCTTCCAGGGGGACAAGCCCAAGGGCGCCCTGCCGAACTTCCTGGACCACATCATCGCCTCGGTGGTGGAGACGAAGAAGGCGGCGGAGACGCGGCGTGCGGACAGCGGGGCGGTGGAGGGGGGCCGCAAGGAGAGCATGATGGGGCTGAGCGTGCTGGACCCCCACACCTCCCACTCCTGGCTGTGCGACGGGCGCCTGCTGTGCCTGCAGGACCCCAGCAACAGCAACAACTGGAAGATCTTCCGGGAGTGCTGGAAGCAGGGCCAGGTGAGCGTCGGCCCGCCTCCGGGGCTGGTCTCTGAGAGGCTGAGGCTCGTGGGCCGAGCAGGAGAGCCGTCCGGAGCAGCCAGACTCCGCCCTGGAGGACACAGCTCCTTCCTTCCCGTTCCCCCCCCCCCTCTAACCCTTTCACCCCTTCTGTGCCGTCGGCCCTGCTGGCCGTTTCTCCTCCTCGCTCCCTCGTCTCCTCCACGGATCTCCCTCTGTCCCCCTCAGCCCGTGTTGGTGTCTGGGGTTCACAAGAAGCTGAAGGCCGGCCTGTGGCGCCCCGAGGCCTTCAGCCTGGAGTTTGGGGACCAGGACGTCGACCTGGTGAACTGCCGTAACTGCGCCATCATCTCCGACGTCAAGGTCCGGGACTTCTGGGACGGCTTCGAGGTCATCTCCAGTAAGTGCTCTGTGTGTGTGTGAGAGGGTGGGTGCTGTGTGTGTGTGTGGCGAGAGAGGGTGGGTGCTGTGTGTGTGGTGAGAGAGGGTGGCTGCTCTGTGTGTGTGGTGAGAGAGGGTGGCTGCTCTGTGTGTGTGTGGTGAGAGAGGGTGGGTGCTCTGTGTGTGTGTGG